TTTTCTTCTTTTTTTACAATCTTTTTCTTCATGATGCGATTCATAACTTTTCTGACCTCACGATTTTAACTTAACCGTAGGGCTCCTGTTTTCTTATATATGCAGAAATGAAATAGTGGTGAAATGTGCGGCTTGTGATCAATGAATATGTAAATGTGTGTAAAGAGTGAAATAAAAATGTGTAGTCCCATTCTCGTGGACTATTTTTATCTCCGATACTTTCATCGTTCTTCAGCCTTGAACCTTTCAAATGTCTAATCGGGCCCAAGAACCTGAACTGCTCTTCGACCCTCTGAACTTTTTGTTTTAGCCGGTCTCTAATATTTTTGTGAAAGAGAATTGTTTTTATTCTGAATTTCCCTTTGCACTCCGCTAAATCCTTCCTTTTCGGACTCTTCAATTCAAATAATGGGTTTAAACTGGGTTCAATTGGAAATCCTTCAAGCGGTATAGGTTTGAGTCTGTATTTCGTTCGAATCTCTTAGCATTTGAGGCAGATGGGCTTATAGATAAATGTCTACCAGTTGTATCCCCATTGTAAAGCAACCACTTCTTACTGGGCAGCTCTTGAGCAGCCATTAAGAGCCGTTTTATTTTGGATGGATTTTTTTATTCAAACCTACAGCCTCATCAACTATCTCCTTGTTAACATCAATTCATGCCTCTTTGTTCGGGGTGAATACGGCCGTTGGTGTTGTTCTTGGTCACGTGGAAGTGCACACGCACAGAACTGATGGCGCGAGCATGAATTCAGTGAAAAAAGCACGTATGAAACACCAGTGTCATCTTCAGCGGTGTTCTGATGAGCACATGACTCGAGATCTGCACGTGATTGTTACATTCTACTGCTCTTCCCTCTCCATACTTCAATAAGTCTACCGTGCTATGATTCATTGAGCCCTAATCGCTGCGCATATCTTTCAACATTAACTCCTCCAGCTTAAATTCATCCTCTTCCGCACCTCGCTACATATGTTAAGTATTACTTCGAGTTTATTGCCTTGTTTTCTGATAGAACTCATAACTTGTATGATCTCCGCGTGTTGTAGATGGGACAGAGCGATTCTGTCAGCCCACCCAATAAGCTGCGCCGATTCGTGCTTACGTTTGCGTCTTATGTGGTGTATGTGTCATATCGCCGTCTTCCGATGGTACTCCTGCCCCAAGTGCAGAAAGAGGTCCATCTCGATCGTGAAGATATTGGTGGGTTTTACTTACACAACCCTAGAACTGATATTAACAGTTGTAAATAAGACAGCTGTTCGTATTCATTTGACCATCATAATAGAACAGCGTGTTGTAATTGGGTAACTCCATGAGGATGTTGTCTTGGAATGATGCCCATCTTCTTTTATTCGTCCTTTTTGAACATATTCAAAAAAGGCATCCTTGGCTGCTTCAGTATGAAGTGGCCCTTGATCATGATGGTTTGGTGAGCGATAAATTGATCAGACAGAAATAGAGATGTTTTTATGGGGCCATCTTATCGCATGGTTGCGAATGTTGTTATTTTAATGGTGTTTACATACAACTGCTGTTCACGTGATCGTTTCTGAAATCGATTCGAAATGGAAGAGAATAAGGCAAACAATCGGAATCGAAAAAAAAGTGAGGCTCACGTAGTCCGCTGAGTGCATAGCGTGCCGCCCATTGCACTGGCCATTCTATCGAATGTGCCTCACTCAACAGTTGCATTTGGAGATTGACAGATGCTTTTTCTGTCAAGCATTTCCGCTCAACAACCGCTGCCGTCGATGCGCTCTGCTTCCTGTGCGATATTTCTTGATCTTTAGTTTTCAATTCCCGTTCTATAGTGCATACTGGAACTTTTTTTTAGCATAGGCTTAGACATTGAAATCGAAATCATTCACGGCAGCTTTTCTTATAAAGCACTTTCTCGATTACTAGTTACTGCAGAATAGTGCGCAGTAACTAGTATTCCACTGTTGTCAAAGCTTATGTTGCCGTGAAGTTTATGGTTCACGTTTCTGCCCAAGTTCATAATCGTTTCTATTGTTTATCGTCATGGCTACTGCATTTCTTCCTCTCTGTCATGGTTAACTAAGAAGGTGTTAGGTGATTTCAAATGTCCTCAAAGCTGCGGTAAGTGGTCTTCAACCCTACAGTTCATCGTCATCATAATTTACGTAGTTCTCTGTTAAGGTCCTCATGCTAGAACCCATTTCACCAAGCTTCCGAAGTAGAGTGAAATTTCATGGCTGAATATTACACGAACTCATACTAGCCCCTTTAAATCTGTAGTTGCATTCGCTTTTTCCTTTCATTTTCCGTTTTAATATTTTCTAGCCGAGCATTAGCATCTAGCATTTTCGGCTTCTTCAGCCCGTCTAATATGCAAGCAAAGTATGGATTTCGGTATTCATTGTTATAAGCTAGGCTTCAATTATAAAACTTTTTTTTTCACGTGATGTTTTGACCATTTCGTTGTCCTCAGAGGTCTGAAAGTTTTCGAAACCTATTGGAATGCTATCAGTAAAGCATGACAGTTTAAATTATGGACGGTTTCTGAACGTCGGCCTTCGAGGACAGCGAATCAGTCAAAACGTCTGGCAAAGTAAATGTTTCTCTATTGAAATCCTGTTTGACATTGAATACCTACGATATAACGATTGCCAAACGATTTCACGGAATGCGGGAAGTCTATCGGGAAGTACCGGCAACTAGAGCTATTAGTGGCTTTGTTTTTTCTTCGATGTACACACATTCACCCGACTGTACATGGCTCCGATTTGGCACAGAGTGATACGAGGGATTCAATAGGCAGCGCCGTATTGTTTTGTACGACTTACAAATCAATGAGACTGATAGCAGGGCTTTTATTCGATTGTTTTTTGATTGATTTGATATTCCTCATAAGCGATTGGAAGGCTCTGCTCCTGGGTCTGGTGAAAGTGTTGTATTGCATGTTAAGGAATTTAGATGAATTTTCACCTGACCTAATTCGCTTCGATCTTTTTTTTTTCGTTTTTTTTTNTAAGTTCATAAGCCTGGATATGCTGGATTTTTTGGTTTCCCGAGGTATGAGCTAAAAAACCTCCTGGCAGGTCCTTAAATAATTNTTTTTTTTTCTTTCAGTGCACTAATTTGGTTAATCGAGGTGTCAAATATTTATGAATTAGCGTGCAAATTCAGTTCTAATTTTCTCGCTTTAACATTTCCTCAGTGAACATTTTAATACTTTCTACCGCCACAACGGCAGGTGACGCGTTTTTCAAATGGTGCTCGTACCTTTGACGTAAAGTATAGTGTGGTTGCGATTTTGTCGAGCATTTATTATTATTTATCAAGCAAGATACGCAGAAGGCTGGATATTAGGTGCGTCGTCGTCGTCCAACGAGGACTTAGGAAAGATGCAAAGAAATTTCGTCTGCACTCCCGCGTTGGTCGATTCCTCCCCTTCTCCCCTTCAGTTTGCAGTTTTTCATGAGAAGGGACAGAGCCTCGCTAGTTGAATTGCGATAATTGCCTGTTGTCATTCTGTTTTTCTTTGCATTGACGTCCAGCACAAAATATATTTTTCAAAGGGAAGGGGTGCGCAGTACAACAGAAAAAGGACCCACTCAAAGAGTGTGTGATAAGAATTCCAAGATAGTGTAGGATAAGAAAGAAGCGTCTGTAAACATGTAAGTGGATTGAAAACAGTGTGATGTGGGGTTCAAATCACACCCTGCGTGATAGTAAATAGGAAGTGTGAAGTGGGCGTCCACATTCTGTCAGTTTTTTGTTCAGCAAATACACAAGAATGACTAACACACCCTTTGCGAGCCAACCCTTCGAGAGATCGAAATGAGAATCCTCAAAAGAATGTTGTTTCCCTACTTCTAGTTCGCTGCGAAAATAAAATTAATGAGTTTGGGTTTCATAAAAAAAGGGAAAAGTGTTATGCTGCCGGTGCCCAGTTCCGTCTGTCGTTACACCAGCATGTAGCATTGTCAATGTTAACGGTGCTGTTTATTCAGTTATCAATTTAAGTTCATAAGCCTGGATATGCTGGATTTTTTGGTTTTCTGCATGAGCTAAAAAACCTCCTGGCAGGTCCTTAAATAATTAATTAGCTCAAGATTAAGGGGTGTGAAATTCGAACAGCTACTGTGCGACCAGTTTTCTAGGTGGTCCAGTTGAGATCATGGTTCTTAGGTGGATATCAGGTGAGGTTTTCTATTCCGGCTTCAGTTTTCTTTTCTGGCTCAGAATCCTGAGTCACATAACTTCGGCCCACTTCCCGAAATGGTTTTGAGAAAACTGAGGTGTACCATATGTACGGTAAGACTCGCTGGTACAATTTTTACTTTCGTTTCATTTCTGTGTTCGATTTAATTTCATGAAGAGACAAAACCACATGCTTCCATTTGTGATCATCACCCACTCCCGATTAGTCCACGGCTGGAAGTGTTTAAGGTACAACAGATCAGCTTTTACGATGACGTTGTGGTTTTATACGTCATTATAACCTCGGCATATCAATGCCGAATGCGAGTTTCTCTTGTTACAAACACATTTCATTTTTTTTGCCCAACAAGGTCGGCCAATTGATCGTCTTTTTTTCTGCTATCCGCATTCCCATTACGTTTCGGAAGGCGAGATCGATTACTTTTTACGTGCTTTTCTGTACAATGTCACACATTTTGTTTGCATTCAATGTAGCGATGTAACGTGGTGATGGTATGTTGTGATACTCGTTTGACAAGCTGTTGTTGCTGTACTTTTCGCGTAACATTGTGATTACGATTGCGTATACTCTTTTTTTGGTAGTTCCAAGCTGTTGTGCCATTTTTTATCGCGGCTGTTTCCTTTCTCGAGTTTGTTCAGTTTGATTTTCTAGAACTTTCCAATGTTATTTTTTCGCTTCAGAAACTATCATGACATTTGTCTTCTAGTGGATTNAAAAAGTGGTAATACTAACGGGAACAATATGGTCGGCTACAATCCCGAGCCGATCAGTGGAAAAGAGCTGTCCTCAGCTGAGTACAGGTTGGAGATGCTTCTTATAAGGTTTGAAGTAGCTAGTAGAATTTCGAATTTGGAATTTATTTTCGACATTTTTTCTGGGCTACAGTATTCATCAACAGAAGTTTTCTACGGAATTTCTTTTTAACTACTTTTTGTCCGACGGGGCGGTCTCGCTAGGTCTCTCTCCATCCCTTCAGCTATCTCTAGGGGTTTTTGAACGATTCGTACGCTACATTTACTGCGCCCATCTGTCTGAGTGCTGTGGAATTTGGGATAACATGCAAAATTTTGCATCTTTGTATATATGTTTCTTAATTTTTGAAGGCGTATCTCTTTTTTTGGAAACAAATCATTCGACATATTCTTGTTTCTTTCTTATACTTTCTCTCTAGAACTACCGACCACTACACTTGACTTTTCGGCGTTCTGAGGAGGTGTTATTTTTCTTCCCGAGGTTCTTCTTGTTTTTGGTTTCATTTTGATCAGATGATAGTATTGACAGAGAAAAAATGAGGTTGAGGGGATCTTACTTTCGTACGACCGGCTGGTAAGCGCCTTTGTGCTGAATCTTTTTCCCACTACATCCTATCCCTCTCCAGTGCCATTACTGAGCTCGTAAAAACGTCTTTTCTCTGATCATTTTCTTTTAGCAATCATCTAATCTCCGGGTGGAAATGACCATCAGGGATAGCTTCTGGGGAGATTCGTCTTTCTTGTCTATCTGCCAGGGAGCCTATTGTTCAATGTAGCTCTAGGGCTTCAATATTGTGATCGCGTGTGAATTCTAAAGTGAAAATCCTCGCTAGTGTTGAAGTGAGGCTGGATTGGCAAGTGGTATTGCCACCCGGGCGATAATACAACCTCTGGACGTGTTGAAGATACGCTTTCAACTTCAAGAAGAGCCTATTCGTGGCCAGCACTCAGGCAAATATAAGGTGCACAACTGCTTTGCTTCCTCTGCTATTTGTTGTTTGTCATTTTGGCCTTCTAGGGTGTCTTCCAATCGGTGCGCCTAATCACACGGGAAGAAGGTATTCGTTCGTTCTGGAAAGGCCATGTGCCCGCCCAGGGGTTATCAGCGATGTATGGCTTAGTTCAGTTCTCATCCTTCGAGTTCCTGTCGAGAGAGGTCAGTTCTTCCGATTATTGTGGCTAATCTACTGTTGTTTGAGAGGGACAGCAATTTAGATTGGTCGCCGATTACCTTCCAATAGGCCTTCGGTACGTTCATCAGCAGATTTCTTTTGTGGAGGTCTGTCGGGTTGTCTGGCCATGACAGCGGCGATGCCTCTTGACGTGATTCGTACGAGGCTTGTTGCTCAGTCTGGAAACTTAGTTTACAGAGGTTCATATTTTTTATTCTTTTGTTTTTGTGACTATTTACTTAATCTTTTGCTTAATCCTTTGCGATTTCAGGAACAACACATGCTATGATACAAATATGGCACAGAGATGGAGCCGTTGGTTACTTCCGTGGATGGATACCTAGTATTGCTCAAATTGCACCTTTCACTGGACTTCAGTTTGCCCTATACAACTTCTTTATGGATGCTTGGCCTCGGATAATAGAGCATCACGACTCGACAGGTGCCCTCATAAGCGGAGCACTTGCTGGGACTGTGGCCAAAACGGTAAGTTTTTTCGGTGAATTATTGCGTTTAGGGTGTTGCTTGGGATACGCGCCGTCGCACGATCACTTTTATTCGTACGATTAGGTTTAAAGCAAAATTAGGGCCAAACTTCTGGAATTTCACAAGTAGCGTACGCTTTTGGAAATAAGTGGAAATAAGCTTTTGGAAACACCAATTAGCTGCGGTATAGCGCACTTTCTTCACACCTTTACTTCAACCTGGATTTAACATTTCACTTGGAGACCTGCGACCTTGTTCTTTGACTTTGTTTCTCTTGTCACAAGTTTTTTGTGAAGGTTGTTGTGTATTTAGCTTCTATATCCACTCGATATGATACGACATCGTCTGCAAATGAACGGCTTTGAGAGGCGAGGTTTTGGTAAAACGTCAGATTACCGTATCGGTATGATTCGAACGATGGTGATGGTGGTTCGAAACGAAACCGTCTACGGCCTATTCAAAGGTCTTTGGCCAAGTCAACTCAAAGCGGCGGCCAACTCAGGCTGTGCTTTCCTATTTTATGAAATGTTTTGTGATTTGTTAAGGACGCAGAAGAGGAATGAGTAGTTCAAGCGATAGATTTGTGTTCGTCGACATTCTCTTTCTCGTAATTTTCTTTTCCACAGGTTTTATATTACGGTTACCTCATATATGTATAGTTGATTAATAATTCATTTGTGGTTGTGTACATTTTTATAGGCAAAAGCTGTTATTGTTGTTTTGACATACCCAAATGCGGCCTTTTTAAAAAAAANAAAAAAAATGTATCTGTCGCTCAATTTCTTTCATGTTATCACTTCTCAAATGAATTCTCCCCAGAGCATTGTCTGTGGTAGATTTAGCGTTGAAGCGTTGCGGAATAGTTATAATTTCGGCTCTTTTGCTAACCCATGTCATTCATTCTTTCATTAAAATAGGATGCAGATTTTATGTTAACGTCTTATTAATTTTGCCACTAAGCATGTGGATGGTATTCGTTTGAGAAATGCATAGGTAGAGATAGTTATGCCTAGAGATTCATTGTTGCTGTACATATTTGCATCAATAAAGGGTCGGCATCCAATGTCATGTTTCTGCATTTAATTATTTTTGCAACAATAGCAATCAAGGATATTAATAAAGCTAAGGTCTGGCCGAGAATATTTCCAGTTGATTAAAATTTTAAACTTTCAGGTTCGCTGGTCTCGGTTCAAGCACTATGTTTCACCGTTTCAAAGCTAGTGTTTGGAGTTGCTTCGGATCGTGTCTCACCGTTGAGGATTATACTATTAGGCTTATTGGTATGCGCCGTGACCTCAGTATTCTTTGGTATGTACTTTTATGTCTATTTTTTGGTATTACCTTCCTTTTAATAGTGTAGTTTTTACTTTTCTTGACACAGCTCGTCATGTGCAATGAATGGTGATAATGGCAATTACTGGTTTGAAAATCTAGTTTTGGTGAAATTACCTCTTTTCAACGTTCCAAAAAGATCAGAGCGTTTAATAGGTACCTAAAACATTCTTGATAATTAGGTGGTAACTACTTCATGAACTGTCTGACCTTAGGCCTTGGTTAGACTTATGGAAGGTGAGGGACGAAATCCATGAACTTTACCTCATCACTCTCAAGAAGAGTACAGAAAACGAAATCTACACAGTTTTCGTAAATATTCTTCCTCGAACTTTCGTATAAGTGATGTATTGAGTAACTAACTGTAACGATTTTATTTTTAGGATGTATTTCATCCTTTTATCAAATTCTTCTATGTGTAGTATGCATTGGCAGTGTTCAAGGCGCATCGTGGGTTCCAGCTACAAAACTCACAGCCAAGGTATGTGCTTTGTCCTCATTCTAACGATGTCATTAGTAATGTCATATATACATATGATAGTATTTAGTGGTATAATGATCGGTCGTATGCAAAGATGTTCTCCATACTTGGCTGTGGTAGCACGGTTGCTGGATTGTTGATGCCATTTGTGCAATATTCTTATTGGCGCTCGCTCTTGATATGTTTTGGTATGTCAATATGAATTCGAGATTTTTAGAGGCATGGCTCCTTTTCTTTATCCTACAATTTGCTTACAGTTTTTAGTCATTGGATTTTTCAAGGTCTGTTCACTCTGACATTCTCTGCTTATTTCTACCATACGCTGCGAGAAGACGACATTAATCCACAACATATAAAGAGCAAAGAGAGTTCGCCGTCTTTGATCTCTCTCACCTATTCACCTGTGATATGGAGTGTAGCTGCCGTGTACCTTTTTTCCATGGAGGTTTGTACATTAACTGGTGCATCATGTAGACATTTACTTGATTGTTTTCTTCCTCGTTCATTTATTGACTTGTTTTTTTGCTCGTTCAAAAAACAAGTCTGAGATGTACCACATCACTAAGATAGCATAATAATGCTCAAAACATTTTGCTGGTTTTAAAACCCATTCACTTGTTTATAAAGGACGTGTGGGCGCTCGTTTTTTTTCATCGTGTCATGCATTTTATTAGGATTTCAAGTTCCCCATAAGCGTTCTGCGATGGACGAAATGATGACATGGTTTTCAAAAAGATATAAGTCTTTGAAATATTGTACAAAAAAATTGGTGATTAAGACTCTTTTATGATTATTTTGAAGAGTTTATTTTCACCCAGTTTTGCTCAACTTGAAAACTTTTTTGAATTTTTTTCTCTTCTTCAAAAATTCATTCTTTTCAAGGTCCGAACGGTGTGCGAGACATGGATTCCTCTTTACATGGCCGAAAACGGTCTCAGCCTCGCAACATTCCAGGTGACCTATGAAATAGGAGGGTGAGTTTCCCAACTAGCTGTTCTCGTCTAAGTTCTAACAGTAGTTCGCTGACAAATTTCCAGCATTCTTGGTAATCTCCTATCTGGCTGGCTGTTAGATCAACTCTGCACTCACATGGGTGCTGACTCAGCCCGGCGCCTTGTTGGCGTGGCGAGCAGTGCTTTATTGCTTCTAGTGGCTGCTATTAGTATAAAGACCTTGGTGAGTTTTTCTCATCGCTCTCATATTTGCACACTTTTGCTTCCGTTTGGTTTTTGAACGGCTGTAAGTATTGTGTCTATACTGATTCGGCTCTTCAATAATGTTGTGCTCCAAGTAAGGACCACCTCGTTAAACCTTTTTTGACCATAAACCACTTTTGCATGAAACTAAAGCGCTCTTGAACAACAGAACAACAACAGCTGAAAGTTATCGGAAATAACTTCATTGATCAAATTCTTAGGTAAATTATTTTTAGGTTAACGGTAATGGTGTTTTAATAAGACTTCTATCTGAGCACCCACTTGAGTGCACAGGTAGTAATAATGCTTGCCAGCATGGGCAACATTCGGAGAGTAACAAATACCGTTCGAACGAGCAGATTTATGCTATAAAAATTCTACCGAGTTATTGTTCTATTATTGACGTAGTTATCGAAAAAATTTTAGGGTACACAACAAACATTTCTCAAAAAAGCCCGAGAATTTATGCCTGAACCTGATAAAAGCGTCACTTTTTTGTTTGTTCATTTATTTATTTATTGCATGTATTTTCTGTCTATTGTATATTTTGTTGTATTTTACAAAGTTCGAATATGGTTTTGCAGCAATACGTGTCTGTTATTGGCTGGTCACTTGGTTTTCTGGTGAACGCTTCGATTAATGTTTGGTGCATGATAGCTTCACAACTCGGCGATAGTCACATTTCTGGAGCAATTTCGGCTTTTGTCTCGTTCCTCGCTAACTGTGAGTTGGCTTTTCAACGTTTGATTGTAGATGGTTACACTGAGATTACACTTTCGCGTGTTACACTCCATTCTCTTTATGAAGTAAAGTAGGACTTGGTCCACGTGCGTGCTTCGCGGCTTTCTTTTTACCTGACAAGTGACTGACAGAATTATGAACTCTGCTTTGGGTGACTCGAAAATATTAGGGATCGAATAGACCTCAAAACGCAACCCAGCTAATGATGGCACTATGGCTGCTTTTTAATGCAGCCAAAGAGTTGAAGCATTCTAGTGTTATTATTTCTTTGACTTTTTTGCTCATCAATCTTATTTCAGTCGGATCTGTTCTCGCCGGATCGCCGTTGGCGTTTCTAATCGATAACTTCGGCTACGATTGCTTCGTGCCGTTCTTCTTCAGTCACATAGTAGTTCTAGTAGCGATAACTTCTATGAATATCGGGTTTCATGTAAAAGGGAGGAAGCAAGATTGAGGTTGTGTGTTATGTTTTCAGACTATTTACCAAAGTTACTTTATTAATATAGTTATTTGAATGTGGTATGTAAGGTGGTGGGCGTTTTCGTTCTTACATAGGCCAGTGAAATGATATATTGATGCTCTTATACGATTCGGTGCTGTATTGGTATTGATTACGGTAAGACTGAGTGTACCCTGATGAGTAGTAGTTAGCTTTGAATAAAAATTATCCTGTCAGCTGTTTTTGTGAAGGTGCAGTTTTTGAAATCGATTTCTTCCGATATGATGTTTGTTGGCAGTTGTCATCAATTGTAAGTGTTATCTTTATATTTCTTCTGCTTATAATATCTGTCTGTGGTCCAGTTAAAGTGTAGCCTTTGCGCCCTTATGAGATTCATGGGAAAGAGTGGATTCGGACTGTACAGAGCATCACTTTCGTTGAAGATTTTTGAAAGTTTTCCGTAACCAGGTGGAAATCTATGTTCTATGTTCATTTTCTTTTTGAAGGGCGGTTCATTTGGGGATTAAAAGCCAAGGATCGGTAATGTGTTTGTTAGCAAGTAATTTGTTTTGACACCACAACATGCAAGAGAGTGATCGTCTCGGTCCCGTCGAATAGCAAGCTGTGTTCCTATAGCTATTTCGAAAAATATTTTTTTCCATCCACGATCAAATTTTCCCTAAACAGTGGTACAAGAGGGAAGGTGAAGTGATTTTGAGGATAAGAGCTTTCGTATTATTTATCTCACTGTGTTCATAGGTCCACCTCGTGGGGAACTTTCTCAGAAGGCTGTTCATCGTAACGGTGTTTACTCAAAACCAAGAGGTAGTTTTTTTGATCGATTCCTGAGACATTGGAGGAAACTTTTCGATATTCTTCTCTGGTCTTCCTTGTACAGAAAAAGTTTTTAAGTTTGAATCTAATTCCAAGCGTAGGCGATAAACTAGGCAAAGTATGAACAAGATAATATTCTTTTCATTCTGAACACTATTGTATTAAAGAATGTGTTTTTCTTTCGTTCATCCTTANGGTTACCCTCGGGGCTCGAAAAAGCTTGGGTTCAAGTTCCTCATATGTTTTGATAAATGAGCTGATAAAGAGTTCCGAAAGCTTTTCGAGAGTTGCCGTTTGTACTCATGACGAATATGACATTTGTTATTGGTGACATAAGGGGCCTATTTTAGGCTTTACCAGTGTTTTCACCAATCTCGTCATTAACTTATGTAAAAGTGAGGCGATCAACGCGGCATTTTTTAGCACCAAACAGAGATTGGGGGTTAGCGCCAAAAATTAAGGCCATACTCATTGTCAAGGGTCAGACTTCTTTGGTGGCAGGTTAGCACCGTAACTTTTCTCGGTGGACAACTCCGATGGGTGTTCTAAATTGAAGAAGGCTGTTACTGTTGACAGTAAAAATTTGGTTACCACTGGATGTAGTACGAACTCTCTGTATTACTTATATCACGTACTACTAGTGCCATTATATGAATGTAGATCAGTTCAGAGACTTTTTTGGACCAATAATGATGAATAAGTGCCCTTTTTCATCCTCACTGNGGTGACCAAGTCGTTGTTGTCAACTGCGAGAGCCTTATCTATTTCAATTTAGACCGCTTATTGATAAGGTTGTCCACCGCTGTCTTTTCGTTCAGGTCTACTCTAGTTGATTCTGTTGTGTTAACTGCGATCCCGCTTGGAACCTTTGAGAATCAAGTCGATGCTACTGGTTTCATATGTGCTATCCCGTGTACTGCATAACTTTTGTACCTCTGGGTGAGCTGGATTCTTCCTCTTTCAGTTCTTTCGACAAGGGTACTAGCTGGAAGTGGCAGTGGACAGAAATGGCTGGTGTGGTGCTCGGTATTTTTGCCGTCGCCTCGATTCTGATGATGATTTCGTTGCATCACATCGAAGAAGGTCATGTCGGAGTCTACTTCAGAGTAGGTTACTTTGTTGAAGCGTAAGCCTTAGCTTGGAAGTTGAAATTTCGTTTTGATTAACTGATCGGATAGAGTTTAAGGGTGGAGCTTTGTTGACAAAAGTCAGTGCACCAGGTTACCACTTGATGATTCCGTTTGTAACGTCGGTTAAAAGCGTGCAGGTGTGTTATTCTCTCCTTTCTTCTTTGACAAAAAACCAGACCAACTATGGTCGCAATGTTTGGGGCTTTTGTTGTCTTAGTTAGTCATC